GAAATTATTTAGTCATAATTAATTCTATAATATTATAAGAAACTGTAAAACAATTTAATATAATAGTAAAATAATGGTTATATTATAGATTACTTTCATTAAGCACCTTATATTAAAATTAAATCATATTATGTATTGGTTTAAAAATTCCGTGTAGGTAAAACATTTTTTTTTAGTGTTGCACCACAAAACAGAATTTGATTTGTTGAAAACGGGCTTTCAGTAAATATTTTCTATTTTTCTTCACTTATTTTTCTAGGCTTTTTGTTTTTGAAAAGTAGGTATTGGATATTTTCATTTTTGACTTTCTCACCAGAAAAGATACTGAAGCTGAAAATGGAAACATAGTCATTTGGACTTCTATTTGTGTACACAGGCGAAAACAAAAGAAACACATCTCATATTGTAAAATCAATACTTATCACGGGGTAAAAAAAAGCTTAAAACAGTTTTGTTTTCAAGATATAATGTTATTAAGCTTGAGATTAAAATACTAATACATTGAGTTCAATGCAGCTTGTAGAATTTTTCCTTTTATTAATTGAAAAAAAGAAGAACATATTTGGTTGATTTTATAGGATATATCTATTTATCCGGTAGAGTGTATTTTTGCTTTAATAAATAATATTATAGCAATTTAGGATTTTTAAATTTCCTGGATTATATGATGAAATATAACTATAATAATATTATAACACCATGTTATTGGTACCTAATATATATTATATAACCATTAACATAGTAATTCGTAAACCTTGGTTGATGAGTCGTTCATTATCGATATTTTCAATAACTATTACCAAATACATTTAAATGAAAAAAACAATATTTTTCATAATTTCATTTAAAACTAAGTAAAATATTTTAAATTCAGAATCTTAAAATAAATAATATTACGTATTTTATCCCTAAGCCGGGGCGTTGTGTAGGCAATTCGGTACACGGTCTGCGGTGGATACTGGATAGTGTAGTATTATACCTACCTAACTACTAATAAATCTTGTTTTTTTTTTTAGATGTGTCCAATAACAAGCAGACACAAACGAACAATATGTTTACCTGATAATGTTTCACACCAGTATAATGTTAAGTCAATTATATCTGCTGTTTGTGGCTCCAAATAAATATCATCATTACGTCTCATAATTTCATCATAATTTGTCGAGCCGCTTCTTTACTGACATGCGAATTAATTGTTTGAGACGTTCCTGCTATTGCAGCGTGGTATATTTGTATTGGTTTATCTTGATTTTCTCAGGACTTTTTTTTTTTATAGTTTCTTTTATTTTTCTTGCTCCTACACTTATTGAATCAGCTCCATGCAAATGGTCATTTTCAGAAAAAATACAATTTTTGTCAATATAATGCACATTGTTTTCACAAAAAGTCTGAATTTTTGTACCCCATTGTTTTACCCAAGTCCAATAAAATATATGTTCACTGTCTATTTTTCTAATGTAATCTTTATTTTTTATGTATAAATAATTATTAATACTTAAACTACACCACCATTAAAACTATTTAAAATGTCTATGTTCATTTTTAAAAGCTCTTAGTTCAATTGCGTATGTCGTACTGTACTGACTATATGTCCCTGTCTCCTGTCAACTATAACGTATTTTAGATAAAATGTTAACATGTATAGTATAATCGCATAAGGCATGATGCATATTGTTATACTTATCGATTGCTTATCGATTGCTCATACAATATGAAACACCTGTTTTCCGTTATCGGAGCAAGTTCTAGATAAAATTAGTTTAGCAGTTTTGTTTTTAAATTCTAACAAATAATCTTTCAAACACATGACTGATCGAACACATGGCTTTTCGAAGATACAATTTTTCGATGACATAAACTTTTGAACACACATTTTCGAACACATGACTTTCGAACACATGACCATCGAACAGGCAACCAGCACACCTATTGTTTATAAGCTATATAGTCATAAGTTTTAATTAGCTATGTCTATATTTGAACAACTGAGAGGTCAAAGTTTGAGAGAAAGAGTAATGAGCCCTCGGATAAAGCTTATAATATTATGTTTACGACAATTTATATGAGTTTGAATTATGTTAATTGGTTGCATTAGATTATTTATTAAACCCAAGTTATAATTAGCTACTTTTTTTATATTATATTACCCAATAAACTTCCTCATAAATGCATTACGTAGGTATACGTAAATATGTAATCAACTTATTTAATAAGCCTATAAGCTTGTGATGGAGCAGTGAACTATCATCACAAACTTTATTAAACAGAAATAAAATAAAAAAGGTGCTCTTCTGTACAATAGGTTACAAGTGGGTCACTACTCACCACTGTATAATGGATAGTATTAAATTTGAATTCAATGAAATAATATCATTGTATAAGAAAAACGGTTCTGAGCGGTGACGGTATGTCAGTCTACTAGTCTAGGTATAAGACATATTATTATATACTTATCTATCGTATTAAAAACAATTTACCTAAAATAGGTACCTATAATAAGTTCCAAATTTATCATATCACAATATCCATTAGGTACTTATAATGTGTTATACGTCAACAACAAACCCTGATACTATCATTGTCCATACTACATAGATATATAATAGTGTACTTAACTACTTAAGAAGTTTCAAGTACCCACGAATAATATTACACAATCACAACAAAATAGGTAACTAAAATAGTTATTCTAGGTTTTTTTTATGTAATTTTGTCCAAATTAGAACTTAAAATGACTATAAAAATAAACTGTTCTTATGTATTTTTTAGATTTTTTGGTAACAGAATTAACTACTTATGTATAATCTTGTTTTAAATTTTCAATCCTTAGATATAGAAGTTAAACATTTCATAAATTTTTAACTACAAAATAATTATTCAATTTTAAATTTGATAAATATTGTCAAAATTCGATCTTTAATTGCTTATAAAAAAAAATTGGGCCAATGTATTTTTAATATTTTTCAACTGATATTGTAACAATATATCAGGAGCCTTGTATTAAATTTTTACACTTTTTGGCACAACAGACAAAACTTAATTGATATTTATAGAATAAAAAACTAAAAAAATTTCAAACTGAAAATGTCTGTTAACAGCTCAAAAAGAGTCAAAATATTTTCGAAATTGTATGGTGTATAGAAAATGCTAATATAAACATTCAGTGAAATTTTCATGTATCTACAGTTATTTGTTTTTGAATAACAATAAAATAAGGAAATCGAGTGAATATCCAATGTTGTAAAAATTTGAATTTCAAACGCTCATAAAAATTTTATTTGACTTTCTTATAGACTTTTTTTTTGGTAAAGGTAAATAATCTTATAAGGAATCTTGTATTACATTTTAAAATTTAAGATTTAAAAAGAAAAATTTTTACGAATTCTTAACTCAAAATAGTTTGTGAATTTTCGTGATTTTTCCATATTTTGTAAATTTTTGAACTTTAAATGCTTATAAAAAAAAACTGTGACTAAGGATTTTTAATATTTTTCAAATGCCATTGTAACAATATAGTAGGAGCCTTGTATTAAATTTTCAAGCTTTAAAGTTATACAAAAAAAAAAAAAAACGTTTTTAACAGTAATCAGCGCACTGTACCTATTTGAAATATGACATTAAAGATTATTGTTCTTCTTACTGTTCAAAATATGGCATTAACTATAATATTATTATAGTAGCCATTCTTTACAAGTCAAATTCTACGGTTCCAGTGTAAATTAAATTGAAGAAAAATAAGAATAATAACTTAGTGTATATTACTAGAGTGGAAAATAGTTCAGTACTGCTTGAAACAAATTATCCTTAATTTTTGTCTAGAAGTAAATAGAATGGCTGGGAGAAACATTTTATAAAGTTTATTACATGATGTACCTAATATTTAAACTTTAAATTAAAAATTAATAAAAATAAATATATAATATGTAGGTACCTACATGTAGAATTATGATAGTCGTTAGTGGCAAGTCAAATATAATCTAGAAACTCAATTGGTATGCCAATTTTAACTTAATTATATAAGTAGGTAATAATCTAATATAAACCTAGACATTTGGGAATTAAAATTTTTATATAGCTATACAATATAATATAAGTATAACATAATATTATTTTGACAAGTAGAAAACAGATCAAATTAAAAATAATTATTGAATAACAATTGTGCATTTTTTTTTACCATAGATACTACTCAATTCAAATTGTTTTCTTGCAAATTTGTAGCATATTGTCGCAATTTTGACTGCATATTATATTCTGTCATATTTTGATACTTTTTAGTGCATATAAAAATCCGCGGACTATACGGCGTTGTATTCCATGCAATATATCAATATGGATGGTTGGTTTAGTAGAGTTTATATTATGAAAACGTGGTTAGACCACTTAAAAAATTTTTACATAAGAAAATTATTATGATGTGTTTATGTAAAAACACCCTAGTACAGTGGTCTCAAACAAGCGGCATTATTTTGATCAACATTTTTAAGATTATCTAGGACCTAGAGTCTAGGTCATATATATTTTAACTTAATGCCAATACATAGAAAAAATCATATTTTTATACAACTGAAATGTTAATTTTAAAATTACGAGGTAAGAAATAAATCATTGTGATAATATTTAAAGGATTTCAGTGCAATAGGTATTCATTTTCTTTCTCTCAGCTAAGATAAAACGCAATTTTAGAGTTAAATCATATAATAATATGTACTACAAAAATGACTGAGGATAATATTTTACTTTTATGAGATTTATATTACATTATTATTTGATAAAAGATATTAACAATAAAATATATTATTTATAATTTGTTATTTAAAACGGATATCAAATTGTTTATAAACGATATTAAGGAAAATCAAAATAATATTACGAGTGAGTAAATAAGTCTTATTTCGTATTTGTGCACGAACCAGAGAGAGATAACAAATAGTTGGCTGACATATTCTTAAATATAATATTATTGAAATACGTGTGATTATAAAAAAAATTTCATAAAATTAATTATCGAATATAAATTTATATATTCTGTGGTATATCCTCGGGTACAATTCGACCATATCATTAGACATATGTTGCGGTATCTCGTCACGCCATGTGGTCTTGATCATATCCGCGGCCTTCTCAGCAATCATTATAACCGGCGCGTTGGAGCTGGCGCTGACTATCGTGGGCATGATGGACGAGTCCACCACCCGGAGCCCATAGACGCCGTACACCTGGAGCACTGGGTCCACCACGGCGGTCTTATCCCACTTGGGACCCATCTTTGCGGTACCGACCGGGTTGTGTGTGGAAACGGTGTAGTACCGGACCATGCATTCCCAGTAGGCGCCAGATTGCCACGGCAAGGATTGACATCTGCAGAACGGTATGTCGTGAAGTTCGCTGCCCAACTTGTGGAGAGACCCAGTCCGGGCCATTTGCACCACAAACTTGACTCCCCTCACCAGAGTGTCCACGTCCTCCCTTTCAGTAAAATAGTTCGGAATGATCTTGGGATAGTCGAATGGGTTGGCGCTCCGCAACAGTATTTCGCCTCGGCTCTTGGGCTTCAACAATATCTGCAGATATACAATATGAAATGTTGATTATGTACATCCTATTATTTCCTATTAGATTTTGAATATTCTCAGTTCAGATTTAGACCCCTATTATAATCGAACCATTGAACATATTTTGGGATATAACATAGGTCTATAAAATTATGATTTTATTTTTCAAATATCTTAGAAAAGTTATGATCCTTGAACAGCTGCAGCGCCAAGTCCTAATAAATATTAAACATAATCCGTCTAATGAATAATCCATGTTCAATTTCTATGTAAAACATTCAATGCAAAACAAAATATCTAGACAACAATTCATCTTAGTAAGTAGCATAAACTATTGTCGATATATTATGAAAAAATTAAGTATGACAAATAGTAGAAAAATATTAAGTATAACAATTTTTTGTTCAAGCACACCTGTGTATAATATACGATTATTGTTCAGTCGGCTCTGATGTACTCAATGAAATTTATATCTTATATTTTCGATTTTCATATTTATTTAAAATATGTTACTTACTGGTAAGGCAGACCAAACGTCTTTGTCACGAATCGATTTATACATCCATTGATAAAACATTTCTTTTAGCCCTTGAGCTTTCCACGTTTTAATACCACCAATGCCAGAAACGGAGGAACCAGACATTAAGTTCAATCCGATGTCTGGTTGGTCTTCCGATAGATTTTTGCTTATTGTATTAATAAACGCCATTCCTTCTACACCACCCATGACCGTTAGTGGCCCTTCGCCTTTCGACCCATAGCTGAGTAACGAATCCAGGTTTTCCCTTCTCTTATGCGTTAGTGACACCTGTACAAAAGTTTATGTGGTTATTTTATAATTCACTGCAGTGTGCCTGTATAACCACCGTCATTATAATTGTTTTATATGATAAAAATAAATATAGTATCACCTCTTTGTCGATCAAAAACATCAGACCACCGAGTCCGATGTGGTCTTGTAGATTTTTCCCGACGTTTAAATCGGAAATAACGGGTATACCCATTTCTGCGAGATGTTTTCCAGGACCTATGCCTGATAGCATAAGTAGCTGTGGAGAATTAATAGGTCCTGCTGATAGCAATACCTCTTTATGCACCCGAACGTAATAGGTTATGTTGTTTTTTACCATTTCGACACCGGTCGTTATGTTAGTCATATAATCAATTGTTATGCGTGTGACCGTCGTGTTGAGGATCACGTGCAAGTTTTTTCGCAGTCTGGCTGGTTTCAAGAATGCCTTTGCCGTACTGCACCTCGAACCATTTCTGATGGTTCCTTGTGGTACCATAAAACCCGTTTGATATTGGCCATTAGTATCGTGTACACCGTATCCCATTTCTTGTACTGCCAAGGTGAACGCTTCAGCTAATGGAGTTTTGTACGGCGCCTCAGACACTGGTAGATAGCCACCAGCCGAATGGTACGGGGTACGCACCAAGGACGGGTCTTGATTGTCCTCCGATTTTTTAAAGTAGTGGAGCACGTCATTGTACCCCCAACCTAAATTGCCTTGTTTCAGCCAGTCGTCAAAGTCATTTTTGTTTCCACGCGCATATAGCATATTGTTTAAAACGCTGGACCCGCCTAGAACTTTACCACGAGGCCAATTACACCTTCTATCATCCATAGCTGAAATATAATATAATAATAAAAATATTAAATCGGTGTGTACCTATGTATGTATGTATGTATGTATGTATGTATGTATATGTTTATGAATATTTATTGCATGTATGTATGTGTATGTACTATATTATTACTATTTATATTGATTTTTAAAATATTAAGTAGGTATAATGATTGATATGAGTAATATCTTGTATTATTGAAGAAATAATTACATTAGGAATGCAGAATATATAATATTTTATAACGCAAAGTTAAATATAATAATAAATATATTAAATACCTATGTATGTATGTATGTATGAATATATATTGCATGTATGTATATATGTATGTATGTATGTATGCCTGTATGTGTATGTACTATATTATTACTAAAAAAGTAGGTATAATGACTAGTATGAGTAATATCATGTAATATTTTAGAAAGAAGTTAGGTACATTACGTACGCAGAATATATATTATTTTATAAATCAAAATTAAAATGCCTAAGACATTTAAATTTTTTTTATGGATATTAAATAAATTTACTTAAACAAATTTAATAAAACTTAAAACCAGTTTCTCTATTAGTACCTACGTTTTATAATTTCACATTTTATATTTTAAGCAACTAGGTTACATAACTTGGAAACTTAAAATTGTAACATTTGTGTCTTTTTAAAACTATAGAAGAACTTAAAAAAAGTTTAGATCACTATTTATTACAATAGTACACATTTATATAATACCACATTTTTGTAAAATCGAGATATTATATTACATTTTACATGATCTTATCAACTCTCAAACATAAGTTTATTCTACTTGTATATTATATTAATTTTAATTTTGCTTTTTTAAAGCTACAAATATTTTTATATTGGTTAATAATAATATTGACCTATTGACATATCTCGACTATTAAATTCATACAACTTCTTAGTCCTAAAGACTTTTTACAACGAATGTTTATTATGTTCATGCTCACAAGTATGAACATAATTTTTATTTTTGTATGCTAAAAGTTGTAATTTTATTTTAAAAAGCAAATCCAAGTTAAATACGTTCAATTCTTTGTGAGCTTGGTATGTACTATAAAGGTTTGGCAGCTTTAGTATATATCTAATAATGTTGTTAATAGTTGTTTTCCCTTAGAGAGATGATAATTAAAATTCTCTCCCCATATCATAATACCGAAAGTAATAAATGGTTGTACAAATGAGAGATATTTGGATTTTGTACTGAAAAAATGTTTTCTTATAAACGATATCATATAATCAATATGAAATTTTTAATTTGTTTTAATTTAAAACAAGTTTTTCTATTATAAGTTAGTGTTGGTACTTAGTATACAGGTATAAATTACTATTATAAACTGTTACAAATAACACCAAAAGAAAAAAAATATTTAATTGAATAAATTAAAAACAATGAAAACTAAATGAAAATATGTAATATAATAAATATACGTATTTCAAAACATTAATTATCTTGGATTGCCAGTGAAACTTTGGCGGGCCGTAGGTTGGTACCTACGTTTAGGCTGCTCTAGATAATTATTATTAAACCATAATTTTACCAATTTAACCAGAAGATTTGCATTTTATTTACAGTAGGTATGTAAGAATTACTTACCCAAACACGCGCCAACCTGAGGTTCGGTTTTATATTTCCAATCAATCTCAGATAGGTGCTCGCTTTCAACCAACAAAGGCACGTCTGATAGTTCCGTTTCATGTCCACCAGCTTCTATTAGTAGTACATTCCAGTTTTCGACTTCAGTCAACCTATTTGCCAGCACCGCACCTGAATAATTGTTGTTGTATTTTTATTTTATATTGTAAGTTTTTAACTTGCAGAAATTATTGACATGATATCGTGATAACAATATTACGGACGTACAAAGCGTGTAATATATAATAATTTTATAAGATAAGTATAATATATATTATTTTTACCTGCCGATCCACCGCCGACTATTATAAAATCATAACGGCTGAGTAACGTATCTATAGGCTTGTCAGTGATCCCTGGACCAGTATTTGTTACATCGCCATGGAAGTAAATAATAGTCGCGGACAAAATGTTCAGGAAGGCGAATTTCTTTGCCAAGCTTGAAACTATATATGCGGATACCTTCTCCATTTTTTTGTATGTGTTATAAATAACACTAACTTACCCTCAATTGACAATTGGGTATGTTTGAACTTATGGTGTTGTTATTGCTTCACTTCTGTACGATCTAAGGGCCAAATTAAAATATGTTAAATTATCTTAACATATTATGATATCTTTAGAATATACTTTACCAAAGATTGATGTTTTTAGGTGATATAAAAACAAATAAATATTATTTTATCACACGAATACGCGTTGTTCACATGTGTGAGCACTGATCACTCCACTGCGATCGAAAAGTGAATGGCTAAATTTCAAGCATCTTATAATATATAAAACGAGTATAGACATTTAAACTAAATATGGTATGAAATATAGAACACTATAATATAATAATACCATTTTAATATATAGGTAATATAAAAGAGTCGATCACTTAAAACAACAAAAAAATATGAAATATTGAGTGCTGGTTACGGCTAATTACTAAATACCTACTATACAATTAGATAGTATACATATAGCAGCTAACATTCTTTACAAATACTTATTTATGAATCATTATTATTTGATAGATATTAATTCATTTTTAATAAATTGTTTTTAAAATATAAAAGTATATCTTTGAAGATCGTTGTTCAATTTAGTCTGGGATAAAAAAATGTCTGGCTATGCAATTTTATGGGTAATAATTATCAACAACGTTATAATAATGAAATATAACTTGTAGCATAGGAGCACGATATTATAGGTTATAATGTTATATATATAGGTCTCGGATTTGTATGTAAATACATATTTTTACTGAGATTAGATCATTTAATTTGAGCAAGTCAAAAATTATTTTCAAACGATTTGTAATGAAATGAGAGGTGAACACGCGGACCTCAATGAAGTGAGACAATATATTAATATGTTTGAGTTAGTGTAATTATAAAAGCGTTTCCGTCTATTAAACATTGTGCGGTAGAGTTACTTTATCTTGCAACAATGTGACGTTTGCTACCTTAAAATACTAAATTGGACTTGGATTTAACGTATAAAATATACTATATGAGAGTCGATGAGGTCTTACAAGGAACGGACGTAAAACGATAATTGTAACCATATTATGTTGACGTGTGGACAAAATTGAATAATTGATATTGTGGATCATTAATTTATAGTTTAGACATGAGCCAGCAAATGAAAATCGATAATAAACAACAATAAAGTCTATGTTAAATATAATAATAAATTTACAACATGCAAAACTATCGGAAAATATCACAATATGTACCTACCTATTATATAATATAGTTTATATTATTATACTCACAAGTCTTAGAGGTACAGCACTACTACTATAAACAGGTGTGTGGTTGGACTCTGTGTAAGATGGCTACAGAGTTTCTGATGTGAAGGAGGTGTGTAACAACTAACAATAGCACTACAAATAACGGTAATGAAACATAATATAACTAGTTTAAACAGCCGGTTCATGGGGTAGACAAACTTCATAGGTCAAGGCCAAGACTCCAGATATACAGGTTGCTCAAAGAGAAACTTATATTTTGGTGCATGAAATGTCAACGGTTTTATCATAGCAAGAATTACAGTTATGATATTATATATATATTGATTCGTGCGCACGACTGTTGTTATGTTTTTGAGTAACTTGTATATCTTAAATCGTGATGGGGGCATGTTAAGGTTATTAATAATAAATTAATAATGACAACTTTTAATAATTGTGATTGCTAGGAAGATGGCCGACGGTTAAGATTTTGTTTATATATAGAATGTCCTTTCTGATTGCATCTATTCTGAGCTATTAGTATCTATTAACCTGGAGGGCATGTATTGTTTCCACAAATCTACCTATCTATAAATTCAATATTTTTGGAAAAATTATGCATTTTCACGTATTTATAGATACGTGCAGTGTCGGCCAGGCCATGGCCGCTGGGCCGGGCAACCACTTTTTTTGTAAATTTTTTTATTTCCTTGGAGTCTGCCTGGTCTTTATAGTGAGTAAGGACACCGTAAAGTATTTATCGAAATATTTAACCGTAAGCAGTTTTTCTTTACAGGGCCCAGATGATTGCCTATTAGTGTGAGCAGGGCATAATAGTACGAGACACAAGTGTCAAGTAATAATTAGGAGGAGGTTTTTTTTAATTAACCGCAAGTTGAATTAGGTTTTATATCTCTCCTTAAAAACAATGGGCTCATCGAGGCCACTCACCCGACCCTGCACAACCTCCGCTGTTGGATTCAGTGATCATGAAAATGTTGCAAACAAAAATATGTATGATTTATATTACCACACGTCTACTTCTACCTTATTATATAAATATAAAATAGTGATGAAGATTGGACAATTACTTTTGAAAGTTTACTTGAATAAAATTATGCTTATAGCTTATGGGGATGTCTTCAAAGTTAAAATTATTTAGGTAATATAAATATAATTTTGGTTTTTGTCATTTCTTTTCTGTGTCATTAATAATTATTATTGATTATTTTGCAGCTTTAAATTTTTCAATAATTTCATGGTTTATTATTAAATGAATGATTCCCCTTGTCAGTCTTCGTGGTTAATATTATACAGTGATTTTTAACATGCTCACTATATTTTATATTCTGAGTGAAATGATGAATGTATTGATTTTACAATGATGTGTGTTTTTTTTTTAATTTTTTTAATTTTTTTTGTGTCTGTCATCACGTTTTAGGACAGTAAAAGTGCTTGGATTTTCTTCAACAGTAGCTTTTCTGATAGGAAAGTGAATCTAGTTGGTACTTTGGGGGGTAAAAAGTAAAAAATTTTCATTTTCATTTTTCATTTTTTTTTAGTTTTTTTTCTAGAAATATCAATAAAATTTTATTTGTTGGTTAAAAAAACTTGAAAATTTAATAGAAGGCTCCTAGTATATTGTTTCAAAGGCAGATGAAAAATATTAAAAATCGTTAGTCACAGTTTTTTTTGTATAAGCATTTAAAGTTTAAAAATTGACAAAATCTGGAAAAATCACGAAAATTAGCAAATTATTTTGAGTTAAGAATTCGTAAAAATTTTTATTTTTAAATCTAAGATTTGAAAATGTAATACAAGATTTTTTATAAGATTATCTACCTCTATCAATAAAAAAATGTCTATAAGAAAGTCAAATTAAATTTTTATGAGCGTTTGAAATTCAAATTTTTACAACATTGGATGTTCACTCGATGTCTCATGTAGCGATTTCCTTATTTTGTTGTAATTCATGAACGAATAACTGTAGATACATGAAAATTTCACTGAATGTTTATATTAGCATTTCCTATACACCATACAATTTTGACTCTTTTTGAGCTGTTTACGGACATTTACAGCTTTCAATTTTTTTTAGATTTTTTTCTATAAATATCAATTAAGTTTTATCTGTTGGGTCAAAAAGTGTAAAAATTTAATACAAGGCTCCTGATATATTGTTACAATAGCGATTGAAAAATATTAAAAATACATTGGCACAATTTTTTTTATAAGCATTTAAAAATCGAATTTTGACAAAATGTATCAAAATTAATCGAAAATTTCAATCATTGTAATTAATAAATTATAAAATGTTCAGTTTTTATAGCTAAGGATTACAAATTTAAAACAAAGGTTCTCATAAATAGTTCATACTGTAACCAAAAAATCTAAAAAATATATGAACACAGCTATTTTTTACAGACATTTTAAATTCAAATTTTGACGAAATTACATAATAAAAACCTAGAATAACTATTTTAGTTATTTTGTTGTGATTGTATAATATTGTTCGTGGGTACTTGAAACTTCTAATGTATACTACTATATATTTATGATAGTATCAGGGTTTGTTGTTGGTGTATAACGCATTTTAAGTACCTAATGGATATTGTGATATGATTAATTTGGAATTCATTATAGGTGAATTTTTTTTTAATACCATATAGATAAGTACCTATATAATATGTCTTGTACCTAGACTGACATACCGTCTCCGCTCAGAATCGTTTTCTTATACAATGATATAATATCATTGAATTCAAATGTAATACCATCCATTATACAGTTACCCACTTGTAACCTACTGTACAGCAGAGCGACACCCACTTACCCACCTTTTTTTACTTAAGTTCTATAATATTATATTCAAATTCTGATTTTTAGAATTTTTTAATACACTTGAAGATTTTCGAATATTTTTTTTATCATTAAGAATGATGTTGTTACAATACATACTTTATTTTTCAAATATGAATCCTCTTTTTTTACTTTTAATTATTCAGTAGGTATTTTTATTTTTTTTTTTTTGAGAACTTTGATGCATCTAAATCAAAATTCAAACTAGTAGTTTTTTGATAACTTTGTGTACTAATGATAATACTTAGGTATATGGAAATTTTCTAAGTAGATTTTTGGGCTTATATAATTTGAAAATTTAGTAGTCATTAGGTACCATTGATCTATTAAGATAAATTATACATAACAATTATTAATTAGTTACACTGAATAGTGAATAGGTATTACATCTAATATTAGTGACTTCTAATTTTTTATTGTAAAACCATATTTAAGGATTATTATCCTTAGTATAAACATTTTAATAATACAGAAAATACCTATTAGAATTTTGATTTAGATATATCTTCATTTACAAGAACATCATCTGCTAAATATTTTGCAGTAAATAATGAGATTCTTATTTGAAAAATAGAAGTTTGTATAGCTACAGGACACTCTTTAATAGTAGTACCAAATATGTCACTTAAGTATGCTTAAAAATTCTAAAAATAAGAATTTGAATAAATGTATTTTTAAATTAAAAAGTTGGTGAGCATTTTTTCACCAAAATATCAGATAAATTTTGTATTTCATTATGGAGCCCCTTATAAAAACTTACCATGGTTCTTTGTTGTACCAGGCCGACACTAGATACATGTGTAATACATTATCAGTAGGTATTAGAACTTATATAATAGGTAATTCAGCACACTTAACATGCTCGTATCACGATATATTTTTAAAATAATTT